CCCATAGGGGCTCATCTCTTTTCCCAGACAATGGGCTTCCAGAGAGTAGAGAGAATATACTGATCTGGTTTATTGTCAAATATTCCACAGCATGCAGTGGCACAGCTAATAGATACAGACTAAATGAATAAATAAATGAAAACCTCCTTTGCAAAGCTATGAATTCTCCCAGTTACAAAAATTATAAAATATTCTCTGTAGAAATAGGAGGCAGTTCAAAAAAGAACAAGCATGTAAAATATTATAGCTCTGAATATGCTAATGACATTTTATTTACTCATAGTATCAGAATGTTGGAAGAATTTCATTCTTATTTCTCTCTGAACTGGCTCTTGTTCTTCTTTCTTTCTTTTTCTTTTTTTTTTAATCAGAGGTCCATAACAATGGATTGTTTTTATGGGAATAAAATAGAGGATGGAGATTTAGATCTCTCTCTCTCTCTCTCTCTCTTTTATCTGAAACAATTACTATGATGATAAACAGCTTTCTTCTTAATACTGCAATACCATAAATAACAGTAGAAATCTTGATGTCCCAGCAGTATAAGTTCATAAGGCAATATTGATATTACATATTGCTGGCTGGGAGAAATGCTTGTTTACAAACTAATTATTATATAACAAGTCAACTTTAGTTAGATATCTGAGAGGTTAAAACACCAGATTCAGAAAGATAAAGTATGTTAGCATGTACATTAAAAAAATCTCTGTGGTTACAAACAATTGTTTTGAGAGAATTGAAAAAAAAAACAAGTTAGAAAAAAAAACAGTTTATTAAGTAATATCATATAAATAACTTGTTACAAAAATTGATTTGCAAAAGGCATATTTACTCTTTGTGAGAAATCACTTTTTAAATTGCATTCTTTTCAAATTTATAAGTCTAAGAAAACAAAACAAAATAAAAGAAACCATTTCAAGGAGTGCGTATTTGCCATTTGACTACAAGGAAGGCCTAACCACGCTGAGCTAAAAGGTAATTGTTTCAATCCCACTCTTCTAATACAGAAAACTCTCCTATGAAAACGGTGAAGTTATGAAAATCTCCCTAACTAGACATGTGGATGGGAGCAGAGCAGGGATTGTTTTCCATCAGGGATTCTCATAGCCAAAGACTTGAAAGAGAGAAAAGTAAGGTGAACGGAACACTCCACCCAGTCAATCTTTAAGGGTGGCATCAGTTTCAATTTACACTTGGAAGTATTTTTAATTAAATACAATCAATACCAAAAAGCTTTTATTTTCTTGGTTTAAAGTCACAAATCACAGTAGGAGAATGCCAAATTGCCTTAGCTTGGTATCACTGAAGACGCACATAGCATTTATTATAAGGCCTATTCTGATGTAGTTCACTCTCGAAGCAAAGAAAATAATCACAAACAAAACAGTACAGTGGCTTTGAAGTGTTCTTGTGTCTCTTCCGAGCAGATCCGGTTTATATTTGCTACACAGCATTCTCCCGAATGCCTAGTAATTCTATACATTTGATTCTTTAATAAACACTAAACTAATAGATCATAGAAAACTAAACGCTTATAGAATGTGCCTCCAGATATATTTACATAAATAGCGTAGCCTCCCAAGAAAGACCAAGATCTCATTATAGAGGAATGCTTTTTCCACAACGCTGGGTCCATGCCTCATTTGTCAAATTAACCCCATTTGAGGAGAAATTTGAGTTTGTGGTCCATGGGTTTAAAAAAAATGGAATTAAGCAACTTGTAAAAGCTCTTTTGAAATTAATCTAATAACCCAGTGGCTCTTCGGCTAAGTGCCTCAGTCCTGTCTGAAATATAGTGGGTAATAGCCTTTGTTTCCATTTGACCTCCTTTCAACACTTTCATCTGCTGGCTCTGTGAGGCTAACGTTCCCCCCAAATTAAAAAATGAAAATGCATCATAAATAAGGTATTACAAAATGAGGAGTAGATTAAGGATTGTCTCAGCAATGCTTAAATTAAATCGATGATGCAGAGACCATAAAGTTCTGGTTTTAAAAATGAGCTATTTCTTTATTAACTTGTAACAAGTGTGTGAGTCAATGTATTTGCTCTAAGAGGGTATCCTTCTCCACATTAAATATGGTTGGGGTCTGGTATTTTTAGTAGAGAATTATCCCTTTAGAAAATTATTCCATAAAGATGCCAAAGGGAGATTAAAAAATGCTGCACCCATAATAGTTGCTGAAATTTTAAGGAGACCATACTGTAGTTTTGTATTCTCTGGAAAAGAAAACTGCTTGTCAGAACTGAGGAAATAGTTCATCTCCTGAAGATTCACATACCAAGTGTTAATCTTTCTACTCTTATCATCCGATAAAGAAGGTTGGGTTGTAGTGTTAATTTAAACACAGCCGACTGCTTGGATTTCGAGTCCCCTGCCACAATGTCACAATTCAAAAAAGATTTCATCTAGATAAGACATGAAAATTAAAATTACACTAAAATGATCCTTTTCAGAGGATGTCTTTCAAAATAGTGGGGATCATGACTTTTTAGAGTGTTCTTCCAAAGTAATTACATCACTTCAAACTGGTGACTTGGATGAAAGAATTCATTTGGTGGTTCTGTTCCTTGGGAAAAAATGAATTTAGCTGATAAGGGTGGGTACCTGATTTAAATATTTAGTTTGCACCCGGGAATCAACTTTGTTCTCTCCTTTCAATTGTGTACTTTTTACAGTGCTCAAGCATATAAAATCTAAGAATGCCCAATTCGTAGTTGGTACATTATTATCTCCCAGGAAATACCCATTCTAGGGCAAAGCATTTGATGTGAGATATTGTTCGGCAATTCAGGACATCTAAAATTTATATACTTAGAAGTAAAGTAATGGAAACATCACAAAGTTATTTTGGATCCACAAAATTTGGATGCTTTGAAGATACAGATTCAATTTTTAAGAACTTCTTGCGCAACTTTTTAGGAGCTGAAAATGAAAACTAAGCCACATATTTTTATACTGTGTTAAAATTGAATCACCAGCTTTGTTCCATCTGAAAATGGAGTAATTTTGTAGCCGTGCCTCCCTTATGCACCCAAACTATAAAAACAGTAAAGTTCTGAAGGAAATATATATTTACTGTGCTCAGATTCTCATATGGTTTTATGAAACCATAGTTGCTACTTTCCTGTTTGATTTATTTACTTATATGGCGGCAAATATTTTCAGTAGGAAGTGGGTCTGAAGCGAAGGGGCTTCAAACTTATGTGCAATGGCTTAATTGTTTTAAAAATTTTAGCTTATTTTAGGGAGTATCATAGTGGTTTAAAGAAACTCTTCCTCTTGCACAGAGGGGGAAAAAGTCAGAAAGGCTTCAGTGTCCTTGAAACGACACTTTACACAAAAGCGACCTGTTTCTGTTGAATGACTTTAAATTTTTTAGTGATTAAAACAAAGACTGAAATTTTACTTCTTCCCCCTCCTTCCATCTTTCTCATCACCAGTATCTAAAATGAGGACTTAGACAATGTGAAAACTGAGATGAGAACGATTTTCTTTCTCTTCAGTAACCTTTCATGTTGACCCAGGACCTTGCACTTAAAGAAATGTGCATGGGCAAGTGGTGTTTGAGCTGATATTTTGGTGGGAAGAAAGTAAGACCAGGCAGGAGATTGATGGAACTGTAGCTCTTACTGTTTGCAGGTTTTTAAGGGGTCTCGTTAGAAAATGCCACTTCAACTCGATCCTTGCAGGACAGTAGTACTAAATATTCAGCTCTAGGCTCAAAGCATCCAATATCCTATAGGTTTCCTACATCATGAGCTTTTATGTTAAGATATTAAACTCTAATTTCAATACTTAGTCTACTAACCCATTTTTGGCATGATACTATACCCTGCCAATTACATTTCAAATGTCCCACGATAGAGCTATTTGATTTCACTTAGAAGGAGAAATCAACTTTGCCCTGAAATGTAGGAAATTGCTAGTGTCAACCCTCAGAATTCCAATTAACCCCAAAAGTTCAAAAGAACAACTTTTGATGATACCTTTCTTTTCTACTGAACTATTTTTCTTGGTTCAATTTGTTACATGACATGAATCACAAGGATAGAGCATTCTTTAGTTTTACAGTAAATTGTGTGATTAACGTGCTGTTCTATTGCTGTACCTAGTACTTATTAATTAATTTTACTGAGCTATCTTTTTTCAACACTTACCTGTGACTATAATACATACTGATTCATTACAGTGAAGCCCTCCTGTAACTTTTAGTATGCATTCCTCTGTGTGTGAGTGTGTGTGTGTGTGTGTGTGTGGCTCTGTGTGTATAAAGAACTAGAAAAATAAAATTAAATTTAAAAAAAGGCTCGGAATAGGCCAAGCATGAAATACTTGTTAGAATCAAGGGCAGACCATTAAAAATTAGGAAGCCATTTAGGAAACACAAGGAATAATATGGTTGTAAAAATATTTTCACTTTAACCCGAATTCCACATTTCTCTTGTTTTATAGGTGCTCACATTTACTTCCTGGGAAAAATACCTATTTAAACTTAACTGAACAGTAGTATGTTTCCAAATAGAAAATATATGCTGATATGCCATTATCTCCAAATGGAAATGACATCGAGATTATCTTCAGAAGATTAACATTAATTGAAAATAAATCCTTAAGACTAATAAGTGAAGCCAGCATGTTTTCAAGTATATATTATGAATAGATATACACAGAGTCTATTTTTAAATTTTTCATTACAGTACTTCAGAAATTTCTGATGACTGTACGATGTAAGATTCTAATGATAAAAGTCATTAGAACAGCCATATGAGATAAATGATTTGAACCTGCCAGAAGGATTAGTTCAGTTCACTTGGGTCCCCTGGATAATAACTGACTATGATGCTAATTGCATAATTAGAGAAATAATAGATTGGATGGATTTTACATTACTTTTCTATCATAGTTTGAGACCATTACTTTATCATTAGTTCAGAGACAATGATGGAAAGATTGCTATGGAAGCAAAGTTAAAAACAATGGAAAAAGTTAATACATATGAAAGTCAACTATCATTTTAATTCCAATATTAAACACTCTTGTTGAAGGGAATCCAAGTTTGTAAGCATCTTCCAGACACGAAATGTATATTTTCATAATGATCTCAGGGATGTCCATCTTTACCTGGGTAAGTTTGAAAATGCTTCTGGATGTGAAGGGCGGAGTGTTAGGTTCATATATGGCTAGCTCTAACCTCTCCCTGGATCTCCAAGAGGAGGATTTGAGTTCATTCAATCTAACTGTAACTAAGCCAAGTCAATTAGGTGAGAAGTAGCTGAAGGATATTGTACTTTACGTTGCTGCTTTTGGGTATAGTGGAATAATACTGAAAACAAGCACAGACAACATTCGTCTCAAAAAAATTCTTTCAGAAACCTTTAAACAATTATACTTATTTGTCATTAGCCTACTGATAGTTGAAACAATTTCAAGTGATCTGCAATACACTGGTAGCCAAAACTTTCAAATATGCTAAACATTTCATTTGTTAATATTATTCGCTATTTTCTCTTTCTCTTCCTATGGTGTTATGGCAAACTCTTGCATGTCTCATATATAACAAATTAATGAAGTCTTATTACTTTTCTGTTATTGTTATCTTTGAATGTTATCATTTCATTTGCTTTTATTCCTTAAGAGAAATGAGAATCTTAAAATGTGGATTTGATGTTCTGAATAATAGTTGGTGTCAGCAAAAGTTCTTAAAGCACAAACAGGATGGGCTGAATGTCATTTACTTTGCAACAGAAATTCTTTTATGTAGGTTATTATCTCCTCATGAGCTGATATATCAGGAGTGACTTCCAGTGGCTCCTTATTTATTATTACTTTTTAAAAACTATAACTATATTTTTATCAATAAAGCACAATCCCTTATCCCGTTAGCATGTGAAATGTACAGTTGGAACAGTCTGCTGACCTGAGGCAATGGAGTCTAGTAAATCAGTGGCCAGTGGTAGCCAGCAATTTCCAAACTCGCCCTAAGAGAACAAGTGAAAATACTGCTCCCTGTCCTCTCCTCGCGCACACGCCTGCTGGGCTGACTTGGTTAACTGGATGCACTAAAAAATAAAAATTTGCCTTGGAAGCTCATAAAAGTGTACTAGAAAAAAGTCTCTAACATTGGATCCACAAGGACTGCAGCCATTGGCTTTTGGAACAGGTAGAACAGAGAACCCTTCACGGAATAGTGGATAAATAGAAAGAAATAGCCACTTCACATATTTCAGTGTCGTATTGGAAAATGAAAAAGGCAACAGATTAGGAGTCTTTGTCACTGTCCACCCCTCCATACATATCTGCCAGCTTTTTGAACCGAGGGCCCCAGTCACTAAGGTAATCGTAGTCTTGATCTCCATCTGTGGTCGCTGACTCCAGAGAGCTCAGGGAGTCGGCCACGGAGCCGGTGCCCTCATAGGCATAGGTGGCCAAGGAGTCGTAGGGGGGGGCAGTGGGGTCCGTGTCATTTTCCTTTAACCTTTGGTTAATGAAATCTCTGACATCGGTGTTGTCACGAGCTGTTGGAGTCCGACGGGGTAGAAAAAGAGCTTCAGGCACTATGTCCCTACGCAATTTGTTGTCCTCTATGGCTTCGGGATTCCTCAGGGTGCCGATATCAAAGGCCTGGGTGTCCTCCTCTCCACCACCTTCATCATTGTAACTGACAATGTTATCTCTGATGTCCTCTTTGGAAATGATCAAAGGCTCTTTCTTCCTCTGCCTCCTTAGAGCTGCAAACAGCACCACGGTCACTGGAAGAAGGAAACAAAACAGAAAGGGAAGGGAAAGTTAATTTGCTGCCCAATTAATGTCAGGAAGAAATACTATGCTCTGAATGTGAAATTTTAGAAGTTTTCTTGAAAATGCAGAGTCGACTTTTACTTCTTTAAGGATGCATATGCCTCTGTCAATAATCAGATCAGAACCCCAAATATTTGAAAGAAGGTTATAATTTAAATAGAAGATAAAACAACATCATGTTTTGTCAGTAGCTCCATTTTGGCTTTGAAACAGCAAACTTGTTTCACGGTAAGAAGAAATAAAATAATAATAAAAAAAGCGTGGCCATGGTGGAAGTACCGCAATAAGGGTGCAAATTATGCCAAACACCTAGAATGCCCTGAAACTGGTTTTGAGGACAAGGCTGGCACCTTTGGGATGTGTCGAAGGGCTTGCATAACTCCACATCAAAAATAACTTTTGCACTATAACTTCTTTTTTTCTTTTTTCTTGAGAAAAGTGTAAAATTGGTTTAAAACCCAAAGTAGAGATGTGAATGTTTGCATACCTTCGCAACATACAAAGAAATACAATTACAGATAATTCCTGGAGAGACCCAGATTCAGAGAGTCATTTTGGACCTCAAGATCCACCAACTTGCATGGCCAAATAGTAATACACATTCCATAGTATTTTTATTCAAGCTAAATGAAACAGACATTCACAGGAGACTTTTACATTTTTTTTTTCCAAAGGTGCATGGCCCATCAGTTTGTTACCCAGAATGTTTGTTCTTTTAACTTTTTCCTTCTAACACAAATTAGAGATAAAGCAAGAAGTACATTTAAATAGCTCCTGATCTTTCTTCACAGCTGGTCTGGTAGAACAAAGCTGGCTATCTGTAGAGAGGCACATCTATCTACAAGTGGACCTATGGGTGGGAAATAAAAATGTAGCAACGGCTTACAGAGAAAACAGCCATCCAGGGCAGAAAATGCATTATTAACCTAGGTTTGTCCAGAGGAGTTTATTACAGGAAGTAGAGTAATGTCTTTTTACTATCACACCCACATGCGGCCCAGTTTTTATAAGCTGTGAAGATTGAATTTTCACAATAATGGCCTTTTAGTGGTGAGTACATCCACCTATGTAATAAGAAAGTGTGTACACCCATGTGTCTATGTTATAATTTCAGACATTAATAGTCATAATGATAATAGGCTACCTATTGAAAACTGTCTCCATGTCAAGCACTGTGCTCAACGTACTGACTCTCTACAAAGTAGTGCCATCATTATAATCCCATTTTATATACCAGAGAGTAGAGGCTTAGAGATATCACATGTATGAGCCATTCAAATCTAGGGCTGTCAGACTCAAAGACCCACATTCTTAACTGTCATGCTTGAAGCATATTTGATTCTATTTACAAAGGAAATGCAGTTTTGCCATTGTCAAGTGTGTGGCTGTGCAATTGTCTGTAGTGTCTCTTGCTGCCAGGAGTATCTTGATGCCTTATTTGTCACATCCACCCTGGATATCCATTCACTCTTTAAATAAATACTTATGTCAAGCTTCCTCTGTGCCAGATACAGTTCTAGGTTCTACTGGAAAAAAAAAAAAAAAGACACACAGCCCTGCCCACTTTCTAAGTGTGAAAGTTCATAAATGGGCAGGGCTGTGAAATGATGCATGGAGACAGTGAAATGGTGCACGGAGACAGTAAGGGAACAATATGTATGTTACAGAAGGAAATTATGAGGTGATAAGTGCCATGTAACCAAGGAAAAACTGAGCGGTACAAGGAGAGCAGGAGCTTATCTGCATGTTTCAGGGGCTGTGCCATGTTTTTTGAGGGGAGGTCATGCCATTTAAGCCAAGACATGAGTAGTTATACAAGGCTCTATGTGGCAAAGAGGAAAGAGCTCTGGGAAAGGCCCCAAGGTAGGCATGTGTCTGCCAAGTAGGAGGAACAGCCAGGAGGCTCACGGGCTAAACCACAAGGAACCCAGGGGAGGAGAAGAGTCGGGTCTGGCCACTTTCCAAGGGGGCTCTGAGGCTTCTGTATACCTTTCATCTTTCCCTTGGTGGGCATGGATGTGGAAACCTGCAGGCCTTTGGGCAGAAGGATGCCCCTGATCTACTTTTACATTGGTTTCCAGTGTGACAAGTGACATGGATTTGCAAAATAGGGCTGTAAGTAGGACAACCATTGGAATTAGAGAAGAGAACCAAGCCAAATATCCCTCAAAGAATTCCACTCTGACATGCATGAGTTCTTTCACTTATTTAAGGCAAGATAGCAGGTGACTAACATTTCCTGATTCTTTTCCAGCTTAAGGTACCTAGATCTTTTATTCTAGTTTTATGTACATCTAAAAGTACAACCATCTAGACCAGAGAAATCACGTTAAACAATTCAAAGGCATTTATTCACAGCTTAATTCTTGTATAGCTAAAATTGTCTATATTTTTTTCTTATTAGCCCAAAGCACATCTGAACCAAAATTGCTTCAATATAATCATCTAGAAGGGAGATCTTTCTAAAGCTAACTTTTATAAACTGAAAACGTAATTTCTAAGCATGAGGAGTAACATTCTAAAAAGGTAATATACCTATGAAATGCCCTTACCAGAAACTGAGTCTCCTTTTTCCCTACTGTTACGGGGCCAGAGAATAGCAGTGAGATTTGAGTGTGGATGCAGGCACTTGGGCAAATTTAGTGTTCAAATTCTATCATAAAACTAGAAGATTATCAGATCCAGCTTAACTTAAATGATTTGACTTTTAAAGTCTGTTTTCCTTTTTTAAAATTTTTTTAGTTGTTGATGGACTTTTATTTAATTAGTTAATTTATTTATATGCGGTGCTGAGAATCAAACCTAGTGCTTCACACATGCTAGGTGAGCCCTCTACCTTTGAGCTACAACCCCAGCCCCTTAAAGTCTGTTCTTTTATATTTAAAAGAGAAGAAATAACACAGTACTTGGCATTGTTGTCAGGAATGAGTTAATAAATGTAAAGTTTTGCAAACTCTGAAGTGCTGTAGAGACATGAGATATAATTGTCACATTTTTGTAAATACTAGATGCCACATGGTCTACTTTTTTCTCTCTTTGGTGGTGCAGAGGATTAACCCGAGGCCTCAGGTGGGCTAGGTAAGCACTCTAAGCACTAAGCAACAGCTCCAGCCTGATTCACTTTCTTGATGTTGGATTTCCTCATATATCAATGTAATTTTCCTCTTCTTGCCTACATTTCTTCAATTGTCCCACTTAAGTTTGGCCTCTTTCAGCCAGAAATCACCTTGCATTCCACAGGGCTGCAGGAAAGTGGAGTGCAGTGTGGAAGCACCCAGCCTCGAGGGAGAAAACCTGGATTTGGAACTTAGTTCCACCACCTGTTACAAGTGTGACTTGACCACGTGCCTTTGCATCCTGGATCCTCAGCTTTGATGTTTAAAGTGCAGATAAATATATACCAGGTGCTTCTGAGGAGTGAGAAAAACATTAGTACAGCTCCTTGCCCAGCATCTAGCTTAAGGTGAGGGCACTTGGGTAAGTTTGTGCTTAAATCACATCATAAAACGAGGAGATTTGCAGATCTGGGTTAGTGTAAAATGGTGTGACCTTTGTGAGCCTATTTTCTTATCTGTAAAAAGAGGGAACAGCACAGTGTTGCCAGGAGTTAGTTAAGGTTAAATCCCATTTTCTTCCTTTTTTTTTATTGGGTATAGAACCCCCAAAAGAATAGACAAGATATGGGAGGCATTGAGGTCAATTAGTTATAATGAAGAGACAGTGAATTCACTTGGAGGAAGGAAATGAAAAGGGAACAGAGAAGTAAGCTAGTTTGAAGGAAGAAAAGGAAGAGGAGAAAATGGATTGATGATGAAGGAAAGGAAAAATCTGATTTAGCAGATGAAAGCTGGCTCTCCTTCCATGGACTACAAAAAGAGTCTGCATGCATGAGTATAACCCTGACAGCCGAGCACTTCTGAAAATACCCCTTTAAAAAAGAATATTCACGTCCTTCTCTTCTAAACAGTTTTATAAACCCACACCATTGGAAATGCCAATTGTCTTTACTCACTGTCAGTTTCTATTTAAATGTCTTAAAATACTTTGCCCAAATCTTAGTTGACAAAGGGAACCACGGTTCTGCAGGGGAGTTTCAATTCTCCTGTTATAATTAGCAGCATGGATTTGGAATGTGAAGCTCTTGGGCAGGGATCCCTAAGCGTTCTGTTCTTAGAGACACATAGGTCCTCTTTTACTCTTCTTGGGATGACTCTGTCTTTATTTTCTTAAAAGACTTTCTCCTCCTGTGTAATCTAGGTGACTCAACTTCTGACTTTTATTTTCATTTATTTTTTTCATTGCATAGGCAAGCTTTACAAATCTTGCTTTTGTTTTTGGAAGGGTGGTATTAATTAACATTTCCTTTCTTAGTTCACAGTCATGGACCAGATTGATAAACCTTGCTTTTCATTTCTATTACATTCATTTCTTTGGAGTCTCTGGTTTGTTCCCTTAATCACAGAAGTTTCTTATTACTGGGGATGTGAAAATATTAGACATTTTGTATGCGATAACCGGAGAGCAAAGCTAAGAAAATAGTCATTTAAGTGGGTAGATCAAAATAAGTTTACTGGGTTAAAGAAAATTTCATACTTTAATTTTTCCTGTATGAGAGAGAAAAAGTCATGACACTATTCTTTTTACTTTTCCACTGATCATAAACTTTACCTTTATAGAAGTGGCCTTCACCACATCCTCCATGCTGGGTGACTTTCGCTCTTTCAAATTTAACAATATTTGCCAAGTTAAACATTCAACTACAAATGAAATGAAAAGGCCATATGTATATAGCCCTTGAATCCCCCTGAGATTCATTTCCAGTCTGATAGACAAGATGCTCTTTTGGTGGACCAATTCCCCGGGCAAGCAAAGATATGGGCAAGTTCCAAAGCCATTTCAAACAAAATGAGTTCATGTTTGAACAACACAGATTCTCAGCATATAACTCTACTCACCTAGATCAGGCTGTATGCCTTAATGGGGGAGGCGGAAAAATCTAGAGTGTCACAGTAACAGTGTGTGCCCCTCACCAAGGGGAGATAAGATGCAGGGAGAAGCAGTTTACCTAGTAGGATCACGATGCATAGAAGGATGGCCACCAGAGCCCCCGTGCTCAGTCCTGTGGGGTGGATGAGGGCTTCCGCGTGGCAGGACTGCATGTTCCCATGGTGGTCACATGCACAGACCCGGACAGTCACTGTCCCAGTGCTGCTTTGGACTGGGTAGTCGTTGTCTGAAATGACCACAGGCAGGAGGTAGGTGCTCATCTCATGTCTATTATAGCCATTTTTCCGAGTTAAGATTCCTGCTGTGTTGTCTGGAACCAAAAAGCAAAGTGTTAAGTGTACATGGACACTACATCATGTATTGGACCAATTATGATGGGAATTGATAGTTGTATGTATAGATACATCGATAGAGAAAGTAATGAACTTATTTACCTTTGTTATCTCGGATGGTAAAGTTTGAGCCACTGACTGCTTCAGGGGCCAAAGAGAAGGAGAATTGGTGTCCACTGTAAGGGTCGTCCTTATCAACAGCACGCAGAGTCTGAATCAACTGAAATAAAAACCATATGGCTGCTATAAAGTTCTGATAATTCACAAGTGTTTCTTATAGTTTTGTAGTGAGTTGCTTGATTTTATGATTTTTTTTTTACTTCTAATTAAAAATCATAGCTTTTAAAAACTTCCAACAAATCCATTCTGTTCAAAGAACTGAAGGGCTAGATGGATAGCCACAGAGCATGGGATAATTCCTTCCTGTGGGGTGTTGTTCTGTGCATTGTAGGGTGTTTAGCAACAACCCTGGTCTCTAGCCTCTAGATGTCAGAAGTACCCTCCTAATTGTGCAATCAAAAAATATCTCCAGTCATTGCCAAATAGCCCCAGGTAAATATCCCCTCCCTGGTTGAGAAACACTGATGGGAAGTGATACAAAGTTATAAAATACCACAATGAATGAAACAGCCTTGAAACAGGACTAAATGGAAGCACTCATTGGACAGCCTGTTTAGAAGTGCAATCTTGGCATGGATATAAACTACTAACTGGCAAAAAACTAAAAAGAAAATTAGCATATAAAACACAGCTTCCACTTCCCACTTTCCCATGTACTTTAATAGTGCACTTCTATTTTGACCAACTGGAACATAATTTTTATATAACTGGCAGCAAAGACTTATTTCAGGTGGCAACAAATGGGTAAAATGGTAAAACATTCATGAATCTGTATTACTTGTACAGATGGGCAATGTAAATAAGTAAAACTATGAATTATAGGCAATTATAAAGTATGTCCTAGTTGTTACTTTCAAAAAAGATATGATAATTAACTATCTGTTCGCCAATAAAGATTTTTCCAGTAACACTGTGACTCATCTATTTTAATGAAAAAGACCGATTTGGTATCAGCGTCAGTCTTCAGGAGTGATGAACCTCCAGTTCTTAAAAACTGTTTGTTCTCTTATGCAATTTAAACATTCACCCTAGTTCTTATTTATGGTATTAATCTTCTTAGCACTCACTTCATTGATAATTCAAAACTAGCCCTCAGATCTGTGTATCATATGAATTATTAGAAGACTTAAATGAATCTTTCAACTTGAATGTACTTTCTGATGAAACTTACCTGATCTGCCTTTGCTTTTTCACAGACAAAGGTTTCATAGAACTCAGCAAATTCTGGGGCGTTGTCATTGACATCTAGAACTTTAATATATAGAGGTACTCGGCTGCTTTGCTTTGGATTATCTGCCACATACCAAAAAGAAAGAAATAGGCATTTATATGTTGATCGCCAGTTCCCTGTGGACAACATTCCCTCTCTCTTTCCTCCTTATTCACACATAGATTCCCCTTGGCTGCTGTGAATACTATAGAGGCATTGAGCACCACTGCGGACATGAGAAAGAATGGAATGGTTTGGTTCTTCTACAGTTGATACACCTGGTGGAAATTCCTACTTGTGTTGATATGATTACATCTGCATAATAAAGCCACACAAAGTAAGAATAGGCATTTTAGAGGTAGATTTTCAAGGACACCAACAAAGCAGGAAGATAGGAAAAACATGGACAAAAGGAAGGTGAGAAATGCATGAACCACAGGATATCAACATATGTTACTGGTCTTAGTTTTTGTGTGAGTGCTGAATAAGAGCTGGACATCATGCTAAGAACTGTACTGGATTAGCTGACTTGACACTTACACACTTCTGAGGTAGATACAGTTATTGCTCCTATTTTATAGATGAGGAAACTGAGGCACAGAGAAGTTAAGTAATTTATCCACCTTCACAGAGATAAGTAAGAAGTTGAGCCTAGGTTCAAACTTGGGTCTTTCTGATTCCAACGTCCAGGTTATTCACCTTGGATAATGGTTGAGTGCAGACAATGTCTTAAGATATGAAGTATTTTGTTTGTCTTTTATATTCTCCTGGTTAGTTGAAAGACATTGCTGGTACAGGAATCAGGAGTTAAAATCTCTTGCCTCACCCTTTCCATCTATTTCACTCTTATATCTATCTGTTGGCTCACTTCATTAAATGCTAACATTAATAAAAATTCTAATACTAATATTAGACCATCTAAGATTCATATGTGCTGCCATTGTTTAGGGTGCTGGGAAACAAGGGAGCATAAAATTAGCTTGCTTCCTGGAGAGTTATTCTACTATTGGAATAGACAAGCTGTACACATGTAAGTATATAACCTATCAGATGGTCAATGCTATGGAGAAATTAAATGGAAAAGGGATTGAGACAGACAAGGGTGTTACTTTTTATTTTATTTTATTTTTTTGTACCAGCGATTGAACTCTAGGGTGCTTAACCACTGAGCCATATCCCCAGCCCTTTTTATTTTTTTATTTAGAGACAGGGTCTCACTAGGTTGCTTACAGCCTCACTAACTTGCAGAGGCTGGCTTTAAACCTATAATCCTCCTGCCTTAGCCTCCTGAGCTTCTGGGATTACAGGCATGTGCCTCCGTAGCCCTGCTGGTATTACTTTAAATAGGATGACAAGAAATGGCTTCTCTGATGAGTCACCATTTGCCCAGAGATGAGACTGAAGAGAAACATTAGGCCACTTAGGTATTTCTGGAGGTCCTGGCAGAGGAAGCAGCAAGCGCAGAGGCCTCATAGTGGGAGTGAACTGACTTTACACAAACTCTTGATTTTTGACACATCAAAGATAGTTCAGAGGTTGTGACAATAAGATTCTGAAAATCCTTTGTGTCCGACATTTTACTCACACTATTGTTCCAAAGTTAGAGTGGCTAAATATGAATTTTTAAAGGTCTGAATTACTAATACTTTCAAATGTGTCACAGAAACATTAAATCCTAAAAACAGGATTTTAAGGCAGAAAGCTTAAAATACTTATGAAGTGAATTTCATGATGTTTTGAAAAACAGTCCTTCTCAGTGGACAATAACTTTGTAATTTTCAAGCTTTAACGGTGCACTTCTACTGGTATCCACAGTGGATACAAATGTCTAATGAGTTGTCCTTGTCACTATCAAAAGTAGGGCTTCATTGGCCCATATTGGTTACTTATTATACCACCCCATATCCTTCAGCTACTTCAAATCTCATGAGTTATGTTGACAAAATATAACTGCAATGGACTATTTGATATGGAATATTTCACTTTAGATAACCAACTGAGATGAAAATGTGTTGAACTTTAAGAATTAAAAACAAAAACTAAATATAGCTATCATTTAGAAGTCTAGTTTTAAACACTAAAACATTATGTTAAAGACCATTTTTTATTTCATGTATCTCAGTCCAAACATTGTGTTTATAATTCATATTAATTTTCATTGAGTATAATCATTTTATTTGAAGTATTCTTTTGGGGCTGTGTTTCTTTGCCTTAGTTTTCACAGGGAGAACCATAAAATTCATTCTGAACATTTTATTGATTACTTGGTGATCTGTATTGCTTACTTTGTTATACTATGGAAAAATGATCATTTGTGCCTCTTAATTCTGTACAAATTTCAAAATGGAAATTCTAAGAAAGTTTGAGGAATAAATATTCACAAGATTTCTAGACCATGTCTACATTTTAAAGACACTTGAACTCTTTTTTTCCTCCTCTGTCTTTGCAATGTTCGAAAGTCCATTTTTTTCCAGCTGTTTCTGTAATGCTCTAACTTACATGCATTTTAGAATCAAATCTAATAGTACCAATCCAGTCTCACTCTCAATCAAGTCACACTCTCATTCCACTGTTTCCAAACTATAAACTTCCACAATTTCCTCTCCATTTAGGAATGAACCAGCACATAGTTAGTAGAAACATCACTTCAAACCATTCCAGGGATTTTCCCTCAATACATATTGAGCAGGATCATCGACGTGTGGTGACGAGTTTTGGCCATGCTCCATGAGCCCTAGCTGGGACACGCGCTCCATCAATCAGGGACAGCAGCAGTACCAGGTTGTACTTACTAATTTCTGTCGCTATCACTGTTATGTTGTGCCACAGTAGTGTTTCTCTGTCAAGAAGTTTTGATGTAAAAATTGAACCATTTCCAGAATCAATGTTGAAGATTCTGTCCATATCTGTGTGTCGATCAACAGAATACCTGAAAATGCAGGGTGGAATTTAGAAAGGCTTTGCAATTGCTATCCTCACATCAAAAAGCAATATCCAGCATATATGTCATATGAATTTCTTTCTACTTATACTGCATATTTAAATACCTAGAACTTAATATTAAGCAAAATATCCTGAGAAATCAGTTCTTTACGATTGAGGTGTTATTAGTAAGCTCACTAGAACAACGTGCATGCTTTTAAGGGTCACCTCTACAGTTTTTTTTAAATATATAATTTGGATCAAGTTTTTATGGTAATTACATATTTTGTATTTTAAACTCAAGTTTATAGAACTCAGAATGTGTATGTGTATTTGTGTATAATGTAGGGCATTGGTTATTTTTCTGTTATTCATTTAATTATTATTTTTTTTTTTTGGTAAGAAGCAAAGGAAAATTAGTGTGGCCAAGCTTAGTGAAGAAGGAAAAGGAGGTAGGAGATGAGATTGGAGAGGTATCCAGAGTCCAGGCTGTGGAAATGATGGGTTGGCTTCATGAAGAGCTGGGCTTTATTCTAAATTCACCATAATTTTACCAAAGGTTTCCAAGCAAGGTAGTATCATAGTCTAAATCATGTTTAGCAAAGATTGCAGGTTGAATGGAAGAGAATGGTTGGATGGTTCTGCCACAAGCTGATGGAAGAGGAGGAAAAACAGGTTTTGGGGACTGCCTTCAGTTCCATTTTTAATGCATTGAGGTTGAGGTGCCTGAGGAAGATCCAGGGGAAGATACCTAGTTGGATGCACAGGATAAAGATCTGGACTGACAACCTAGATTTCTCATTCAACATCCAGTGAAAGGGGAAAACACTAAGGACAGGATCACTGATAGCACCAATAGGAGAACAAAGACCCACCAGGACAGAACAGTGGTTGGATCAGAGCAAGAGCTGAACAGTTAAGAAGGGGAATTTGGAGATATTCAAAGAACAAAAGTGATGTCTTAGAAACCAAAGGACAGAGTTTTCAACCCTGATATTGATAGAAGACTCATAGATTTTGAAAATCTAATCTTATTTACAAGTTTACCATCAGTTTTTAAAAAATTTATTTACATATGTATGTATTTTTTATGTTTTTTAGAATAGCCATGTAAGGTGAAAAAGTATTTATGTATGCATGTTTATGAGCAAACAGGCATTTAAGAGAAAACACTGAAGAAAGTTGATGTTAAGGGCTGTAGAAAATGTGCATTTTAGATGGATTCTCAAAACTTATGATAGGAGCTTTATGCATGTCATTTAGAAATACAATTCAGGCAAAGGATTTAACTAGTTGGAAATATGGAATTATTATGAATGCTCTGGGAAAAATTGTTACTAATTGATAATATTATACTATGTCCAAAATGTTATTTCAAGGAATCATTTTTATTTACAATGTAAATAGTGAGTTATAATAAACAATGTGTTTTACCTTAGTAAAATTTATTTTTGTCATCTAGCAGGTGTCTAGATGAAATAGACATTCAGTTATTGTAGGCTATTTAAATCTGACTTTAAACAGAATTAATGAAGTTTACAATAGGTACAAGTTGGGTTGGAATTTTAGTTTCAGTGTATGTAATCCAATGATTTTTATTATCAAAAACAGTGGAAACAGATGAAAAAGCTATTGCATTTGCCCTATCTGTCATGAATCAACGTTTACTAAGAGTTTAGGCAACAACATTGAATTTACACCTTTCTTCATTTTAAATTTGAGGATGATAAATATTTATAACACATAGTTAATTACCAAAAGGAAATCTCAATAATCATAGACTTTGTGAGACATTCAATAATTATCTACAAACATATTTTTTCTCTCATGAAAAATGTCAAGCTTAAGAAGTGCCGCTTAGTGCCTTTATAAGCTGCTACAATTATATACAGCAGTAATCTTTTTTTGTTCTTTGTCTCTTTGCCTCCTGTTACAGTTTAAAGTTTTACAAGTAATCATATTTTTTTCCATCAAGTCTTGAAATAAAGGGTAAGCAGTGAGAAAGTTTTCATTGAAGGCAGCTTTAAATTTTAAAGGAAGAGGAACTATTTAAGAAATACTGAAGTTTGTATTATTTTCCCCTAATTGGGAGATTAAAAAATTAGCAGAAAAATCTAAAATATCCACTTTCTGTATGAAAAATTCTTTTACATAAAGCCTTATTTGCTTTTTGTTTTTCCCTAAAGCAATTTCAATTTATAACAGAGACATTTACCATCTATAAACATTGATTGTAAACATCACTAATAGAAAGCAAGGTAATCAATCCCATTATGATTGTAGCAGATCATTCTGCTGAGATGTCCTCAAACCACCGCCCCCACCCTGGCTTCAGTGTATTTGTGATTAAACAATTTGTCTTCTAACGTATCCTCAAGGCAGGAAGATCTCTGGGCTGGGAAAGGAGGTGTGTTTGCATGCAAATTTTTCACAGTAGGTATTAATAGTGACATAAGATTCTTTCATGGGTTTCAAAAGGCATTGGTGATAAAAATTGTTGGAAGAAAATTATGTTCTTGTGATTAAATAATTAAATATTATAGCTGCCTAACAATAAATCAATGTTTGGGGAAGAAGGATCTTAATTGTTCACCTAACTACTACATAGAACCTAGTTGTTCAATATTTATGCTTAGAATAACCTAAAACTACATGTAGTTGTACTTTCCTAATATAAGAATGACTTTTATCCTAGAAAAGGAGTCACTGGAACATATATTTCTATACCAATATATCTAGGTGTATTTCTAGCTTTAAATCTATATTTGTATATCAAATCCATATGCACCAAGGGAAGTCTGGAAGCAAACAAAACAAAACAAAACAAAAAAAACCTTTAAAATTAACTAACAGTTAACCCAGTTTGACAAACTAACTACTTCCTTTCATAAAACATGAAGTAATACAGTGGGTAAAAATGGTATTTCATATAAAAAGTAACATAGATATAGAAGTATATAGCCTATATTCCCAAAAGACATTGTCTCTTAAATTAAAAACAAGTTGATCTATTCAAGAGGTAAGTGAAGTTTGTATTTGTAAACTTTGAGCATTAACACTTTTAAATTGGACTTGACACTGATTTGCTAAGATATTTTTCCTTATGCAGTTAGAATATACTCCAAATGAGATAATAATTGTGAGAGCACTTGATTCACTTGTGCTATGGAAGTGAAAGCCATCTTTCCTTTTCCTTATTAATAATATTAAGCATGGATGAAGAAATACTTGATCCAAAGGCTCACATGTGGCTGCTTTGGGTTGACACAGTCCAATCCAAGGTATCTTATAGAAACTCCAGTAGAATGATATAACAAGTCTATTTGCTTGAAAATAAGTCAGGCATTTTTGTATTTTAGATGTGGGGGTGTCATAAGTTTCATGGAAACAAAGAGGTCTCGATGGCTAAAAAGTTGGAAAACAATTGTCTTACAGCCTCAAATTGTTTTATCTGCAGTAACATCCATCATGTAGCAACCCAGTGATCATTTTAAAAAGTAGCTTTGCATTAGGTAATGCTTCTACTCAAAGTGTTCAGTGGCTTCTCAACTCAGTCAGAAGAAAGTCCAGTCTCTACCATGGACTATAAGGGCCACATAGGACCTGCCACGCTCACCTCCGCCATCCAGCCCTCCCTGTTGCCTCCTACCTGGCCTCTCTTCCCTCACTGTCTTCTAGCAGCACAGGCCTCCTTGCTACTCCTTCAACACACAAAGCAAGAGCTGATATCAGGCCTCACCCCTGCTCTACCCCTTCTGGGAATGGTCTTCCCCCAGATGTTAGCATACTTCATTTCTTCGTTTCATTCAAATCTTTGTCCATTGATTCCCTACCACTGAGCTTGACCACACTATATGAAATAACACCTCACTGAGTCTCTGTTTCCATACTCTGCTCTATTTTACTGCTTATAATTTATTTTCACCAGACACATTACATATTTATCAATTTTTTATTTCTTTCTATAAGCTCCCTGCAATCAGGACTTTGTGTCTAGTATTCCCTAGTTCCAGGACATGCCTGACATATGGTAGATGACCTGACCAGAATATATTTGTGGGATTCACAAGAGTGCTCATACAGCATTTTTGTTTGCTTACTATATTTATGAGAAATAATTTACACAATGATATTCGGCTTAGCACTTTTCTCATTAGTCACCTTAGTTACTGGCTGAAGGTTGGAGGTTGCTAGACTCCAGTATTTTCATAAGATTCTACAATATTCAGAGCATTAGTGGTCCCCAAGAGCAATGAGGCTTTCTGGAACACATGATTTACAACTAAGGTGTCAGGGAAGTACAGGGAAAACAGAGCTTACTTACATAGCATAAATTTGGATTCTGCTTTATTAATTTCCCCTGGATTTCACAGACATATAGCATGAAATGGTTCTTGTTTTTATTTACATCTGCAAGAGGAAAAGTTATGCAACCAAATGGAGCATAATTCTGCCTCTAAGTGTTACATGATAGGTTCTTCCAGCACTTGGAAAACAGACTCTCAAGCCCAGTGCCTAGTTTGTTATTTTCTCCATTCTACTTTGACGATCTTAAACCCTAGGAAAATCTTGAACCTTAAAGAAAGCCCAGGACACTGAGTTGCATTACCTCACACTACCTCCAGTGCAAGCAGTATACATCTTGAGCTCATCTTTTTTTTTTTTCCTTTCAATTTTTGTGTATTTTAGCTTCATGCTGCTGCTAAAATAATCTTTATGCAGTGAGTACAGAGTCAAAGGTGATATTTGGAGTAGTTTTTTCAGGAAAACACAACTGTTTAATTGGAAAAAAGCCATTCCTCTTTTTCTAAGGTGCAGGTGGATATTTGAATATAAATTGGTAGAGATATATGACAGAGATGGTGCAGGAGTGTGCTTACTTGACGGGATTCCTGGCAGCATCTGGATCCTGGGCTGTGACGGAGCCTATTGTTGTGTTAATCTGAGCATCTTCCCTTATTTGTAGGACATAGGCCAGTTTGCTGAAGACTGGAGGCTCATCCACATCTTCCACCACAATTCTCACAGTGGCTGAATCTTTGAACGGACCCAGGTAGAGAAATCGGGGCTCCACGTGGGGATTGGAGGCTTCCACCTTGAGGGTGTACACTTTCTTCTTTTCGAAGTCCAAAAACTTGGGGAGGAAAGTGACATATTTAAGGCAAATACCTGAGGTGGGGATGTAATCTATACTTTCAAAAACCTCCTCCGGTGATTCTAAGGTGTAGCCAGCAATGGGAACTGCAAGTTTGCATATGGTTTCCCTATTCCTCATTCAGATAAAATAGATTAAATTTTTTTTTTTGCATGAGTTAATAAAATATTCCAAATGACATCTTGATAAGGGCACGGAGCTAATTATTGACCAAAGAGAGGAATAATAATCATTGTTGTTAAAAATCTTTAGAAAGAAACTTTTTGCTTTTGGAGACACAACAAACCCAAATGCTTATTGCTGACTTTTAATTTTAGATGGGAATATGACAAGGCTCACTAGAAAGATAATTAATCAAGACGTTAGTGAATGTGATTTAGTTGGCTAGGCAAAATTTTAGTTCAAATCTTATCAGGCACTAAGAAAATTAAAAAGATTAATGCACACTAATGGGCTTCCTAATTATATTATGATATAAAACATTGGTCTCAGTGTCACTTAAACATGTTTTATTGTGTTTCCAGATATTAGGACATGAGCTTAAGGGGAAAATTTTTGTTATTTATATCCACCTATGTTTATATTTATCAGCAAACACAACTGTGTGCTAAAGGAGGGAGAAGATATTACACTATACCTGGTAAAAGGGGAATCATAAAAAAAATCAACCAAATTAATGTGTTTAGCCTCAAAACATACAATTTATTGGTTTTTAGCTTTTGCCACACTGTGGCACTAGTATTGGGAGGGGTTAAATTAATGCATAAGTACATTGGCAAATAAGAGGAATTTGGGACATAAAAGATTTATTATCATCCTGTTTCAGAAAAGAGCTTAAAGTAGTTGCAGAAAATTTGTATCACTTAAATATGTGGTCTTTACATATCTTCTCTAATTCAGGTCATCTGGATCACTATGTGAATTACTCTTTTCCTTTAACATACCTATTACAATTTTTAGTTACACATTTATTGGTTTGTTTTCTTGCTTTCTATTTTTTCCTCCCCTATGAACTGGAAGTTCCATGACAGCAGAGACCATTTGTAGGTGCCATTGCATCTCCAGGACATAGAATAATATCTGGCACTGTCTCCTTCCTTATTGTTCATTTATATTACATATTCCATGTTTTTTTATGTATATCATTTGTTTATATTATTTATTTACTTAGGAGATTCTTTTTTGCTGTTTTAATATTTAATTGATTTTATTTTTTAAATACATGATAGTGGAATGCATTAAAATTCTTATGACACATATACAGCACAATTTTTCATATTTTTGTTTGTATATAAAAGCTATTAAAAGTGTGGTATTAATGAAGGCATAAAATTATTTAGACCCCCAAAAGCCAATGCAAGAGGTCTTAATATCATTAGAATTGGCATTTTCCTAAAATAACAAACTCAGAGTCTAAAGGAATGTTTATATGAGACGTTAACTGCCCCTGGTAACTTGGGAACCAGAGAAAAGCATGTTTATTTGTATGAGATTTAAGAGGTGGGATTACCTTTTTGACAGTTATTATTCCTTCCTGGGTTTCCTGGTCGGTGATGACATCAAACATGTCCAGCCCCTCACCATCTGTGATGCTGTACTCAATTGCAGCATTTTCTCCAACATCAGCATCACTGGCTTTGATCCTGCCAATTGGTGTACCCGGTGGAGAAGATTCAGGGGTTTTAAATTGATATGTACCTATTAATCACCAGACAGATGTGAGTCAAACACAGACTAAGAATGCTATGTCATAAGTAATCTCTTATTCATGGGGAATGTGTTCTAAGACCCCCAGTGGATGCCTGAAGCTACAGGTAGTACTAAATCCTACAACCAGTACGTTCTGTTTTTTCATATATACATACCTATGATCAGTTTAATTTACAAATGAGACACAGTAAAAGATAATAATAATTGATAATAAGAGCTAGAACAATTATAACAATTATACTATAGTCAGTTATTTGAAGCTTAGGAGTTGTTGATGCTGGAATATTTTATTTAATATTTTTGGACTGTGGTTGACACCCACCGGGTAAGTGAAACTGCAAAAAGCAAAGACTGTGGATAAGGGCGGGGATTAGGGTAAAAACAAAACCCATTTTTTAAGAGTCTTTTAGGACATGGATGGAGGCAGATTCATTCTTTCTTCAACATAATTAACGGTGCCCTATTCTCCTTATATCTTCACTGTCATGATTGTTAAGAATATTTCTTCTGCTGAGTCTGATGGTGCATGCCTGTAATCCCAGTGGCTCAGAAGGCTGAGGCAGGAAGATCAAAAGTTTGAAGCCAGCCTCAGCAATTTAGCGAAGTTCTAAGCAACTTAGCGAGACCCTGTCTCTAAATAGGTTATATATATATAAAAGGGTTGGGGATGTGGCTCAGTGATTAAGTGCCCCTGGGTTCAATCCCTGGTACAAAAAAAATTTCCCCCCATCTATTTCATGATCTGCATCCTTGCAAATGGAGAGCATTTATCTTGCTCTGTAAGCAGGCTTCTAAGTTTATGGTGTCATTATGAAAATGATTGAATTCTATAAGAGAAACCACAAGTTTTCAATGCCCCCTGTTAATCTAATCAATCAGAAAGAGGAGAGAAGAACTTAGCCAGAACTGTGACTTGAAGTCAATTACTAGGTGTCCTTTTAAAAAGTTCTTTCTGTTAATATTAGCAGAAGGTGCAAGTAAATTATAGCAATTTGGTGAATATGTCTAAAGAATATATCCTTTTACTCATATACATATCTGGATTTAGTTGCTGAATTAGGGATATAGATAAATACACTGAGTGATAAAGCAAATTTTTAATAACCAACTCTTTAAAATTTTATTATAATTTTTATCTATGCATAGGTTTCTCCCATGATTATGTTTGTATTATTAATTCAAAACTTCTATTTTGTAGATAAGAATTTTCCTTACATCCTCTTCTTACAAAATTAGTTTAAGAAGACTACATGTGAATTTCAGTTTAGATCTGAAAGGACATCATTTAATTAAAACTAAAACAAAAATAAACTAGTGAAACAGAAAGTTAGTCTATTATCATATATTACACTTTGTCAACCATTCATGCAAATGGTTTTGGAAAAACCAAAACCAGACTGTGCCACCACTAAAATAGGGTTCTTGAATAATATTAATTTCCTGAGTATTGGGCTCATCCTTGGTAAAATGATAAAATGGGTTAAGTGTTTCTCTAATGTCTTCAACTTCCATTTTAAGGGCCTCCTGCACCTTTCTATATTCAATGCAATGTCACATAACAAGACACAGGCTAAGTGAAGAAAGAGTAGTTACACATCCCCTTGGTACCAAGATGCTGGCGAAGCCCAACATAACCCTCCCCAGGGGACTGCCACAATGAAGAGGAGATTTTTGGGAAAAATGTTGGTGATCTTGATATTTTCAGGCTTCTTGGGGGAAATTTTAGCACTCAGAAAACATTTCTTACACCTCTTTTATCAGAAATTAGCTACTCTTCTATGTTGCTAACTCTGAATAAATTCTTGAAAAAAAATATAACTACTTTTTAATGATCTATGTGATTCTCCATTCTACAGTTTTTAGGAAATGCTGTGATGAAGTAAGTGGGTTTTCTATTTAATAATTGAGATAACTTTCTTACGAGATTGTGTTCGTGGAGGAAAATGCATTAAAACTGGTCCCCACTTGGGCGGCTGTATGTGAAAGAATCAAGCATATGCTTGACACAAACTCAGCATTGATGAGTGTTGTTTCTTCCTCCTGCCTAATCATAAGAGTTAATGATGTTATAGATGGTGTTTGGTATCTCAATTAACCATAATGTAGAAAACTATTTATGATTACAAATGGATTAAGTACATAGTTACTTCCACAGTTATATTTTTAGAAACAGGAAAATGATAAATCCTTTCCTTATGAAGCTTTGTGAGGATTTAAAAGAGATTACATGCCTGATTAAGTTCACAAAACATAAAGACAAGTTTTTCCTAACAAATAGCAGCATGCTTGTATACATATGTTCTGTGCAAGCAAATTTATGTCTCTGGCAGTCTTTTTTAATAAGGAAAAAGAAAATAATGATGCTGTTTTTACAACAGTCATATCAGAAATCGCTCAGCTAATTACCAAGGGAGGAACATAAATGTTCACACTTCCTGAGCTTAAGTGGTGTTGTCAACTCATTTTAATAATTTTAATAAAAGTGCCAGTTCTTATGAAGTCCACTAATTTTGACAATAATGATAATGGAAAATAAACATTTTTGAAGTCAGAGTTTATGAGACGGCATTGAAGAAACTTTTTCAATCAAATGTTCCTACTCTGGGGGAATCGGGGAGGATTGTCGTTGACATCTGTCAGCGTGATGTTCACTGTGGTGGTCCCAGATAATCCTCCCATCTGGCCGCCCATGTCCTTGGCTTGGATCACCACTTGGTACTGCTCTCTGTTTTCACGATCCATGTTAAGCAAAGCTGTCTTGATGATACCTATGGATGTGAAATTTAGGAGTGGAAAGGGATGCATTTAGAATACTTTACGGAATCATTTATTTATGCAAACAAACATAGACTGTCACCCACAATATGCAAAACACCATGCAGATGTCATTGTGATATAAAGATGATTATATACAGCCTTTATACTGAAGGATATTACAACCACATAGGGGAGAGAGAGACACATTTTAAAAAGCCTGTAACACAGAAGAATGAACTCAAGTACAAGTCAAATCCTGCAATGGTATGGACTGCCTGTTCTATAAATATTAAGTACAGCAAAATCTAACTTGACCTATGATATAAAGGTGTGTTATGGTAGCTGCTTGATAAAAGATATTCAGGTATATTATGAGCAAATTTTTAAGAAACTGAGCTGACTTCTGGGTTCCACATGACTGAACTGGCTAATTGCTCCTCAAATATACCTACCATAATGAGTGTTCTGAGGTTTTTCGAAACCACAAAACTATTGTGTTAAGAATACACAGCATTGATTCTCTCACAATTATCGTATTATATGATCCTGGAGAATTTAGTTTTTCCTAAAGCTTATGTGAACATCAGTTCAACTGGTCCCAACAGTAACAATTTTAAAGTTAGGTTAAATTTGTCTCTGTTGTTAGGCAGTTATAAGATAATTAGTTGAAAGAACTTCTAAAGGTTTGCCTGATCTCTATATAGGGTTTATGCTTAAATTAACTTTCTTCTAAAAATCACTGGAGAAGACTTTATAATCCTCTATGGTTGCACATTCCAGTGCCTAACAACTAATGAAGCTGAAAATATCATTTAAATTTTTAACAAGAATACTCCAGACACCAGGTCAGTTTTATTCCTATCGACTTGACTTCAAAGTGCAGCGCTTTCTGTTCTCCACATAATAGTACCTGTCTATTAAATATAGGAGATTCTCCTTAGCTTTTTATCCTTTAGCTGAATAATTCTAATTTTTCCTTCTTATTGTTTTTCAATTCTACATTTTCTTTCTCCTTGGAATTCTTCCCAAGTTCATCGCACCTTTTAATACCTAGATTTCAAACTGGATGTAGGAACCTGGAAAGGTTTGGATTTCTACCATAATAATGGATGTTTGAAAAATGTAGGAAAGAAACTTGACTCCTTTTACAATTGGCAAATACATGTGGAATTTACTATTCAATACAAATGCTGTAAAAAACCCAAATCATCATCACATAGGATGCTATTCTGTGGGAAAAATACAGAAAAATGAGATGTTGAAGAAAGGATTTTTATAAGGTGATAGGTTTTGTTGTATTAGGGCCAAATCAGGATGAGCTAGGCAATGATGTAACAACAAACAACACAACATCTCAGGGACTTAACACAACTGAAGTGTGAGCTTTGCTCATGCTCTGGGAGATGAGCGGGATGCTCTGCTCATGGCAACAGTGGCCATCCAGGGTAACCCCTTCTCAACATAGTTTTCACGATCACTGGGACAGGGGAGGGGGATGTGGCAGGTTGTGCAACAACTCTGCATCACTGCCACATTTTATTTGCCCCAATCAATCAATCAATCACATGGCTATGTCTAGCATCAGAGCAGAAGAGAGAGATGCAGTCTTACCCAATAGCTAGAAACAGAAGAACCAGAATATGGGTAAATAGCCCTACCAGAAAGGGTTAATCTTTTAGCTTCACCCCAAACTGGAAGAAAAAGAATGGAATGCATAATTTTTCTGAATCTGCCCTATATAAATATGTTAGATGAAAGGTTCATTGTCAGATTTCTTGATTAAAATGATCTGGATGTCATGCTTACAAATATATCATTAGTGTTTGGCAGAAGAATACAAGAAAATTCAATCATGCTGATTGTTTTTATTAAAAAATATGCTAGCTCAGCTGAGCATGTCAATTAAAATTATAGATTATAAAAAAAATAAATAAAAAGTAAGGCCAAAAATGAATTCTTACCTGTTTCTGATTCAACTGAAAAATAGGGCTGTCCCTGTAGGATACTATAGACAACTTTGGCACTGTTTCCATAAGTTGGATCATCAGCATCGGTTGCCGTGACTTGGACAACAAATGTCCCTGTAATGACACAGAAACATAAACTGAAAACAAATTAAGGGTTTTCCATATGTCTTGATACACACATAAAAAGAAAGCATGACCTTAATTTGTGTGAAGTTATCATGACAAGAAAGAGGTGAACTTCAGTAGGATGCTAGGTTAAAAAGCCTTAGATTCTTAACTCTGAAGGGGTGTAACCAACTAATAAATACTGTGAGGATTAGGTTGAAGAGAAGCATGGAGTGATCATGACCTTGAGTGGAACTCATCCCAACCCATCTCCAATGATGGATTTGACTGGATTATTGCTGTAGTGACTTTTTCAAGTCATTCAGGACTAAATCAATTAGCAACTTGCATTACTTTGTCCATAGGCATGAGCTGAGAAGCTTTCTATTCTTTGGGCCACTCATGATTTTGCTAGAAGTCCTGCATCATTGATGCTTTGTCTCCTGGACTATAAGGTGCTGATGTGAAGCCACAAATAGCTATTTGTGATCTGAAAAAGGCCAGCCTGAGGACAAAGCTGTATAAGCTTAAAAACAGCCAAGAAACACCCAGAATTCCAATAGCTCTGTACAAAGCCCAGTTTACTTTTGGATTAAAGTAATGTGACCAGTAATACTTTTATTCTTTAAACTACTTTGAGTTGGGTTTCCTGTTACTTACCATCCTAAAAAAATACTTTATCTGGTAATTCCAAGATCCTGAAAGACCTTGAACCTTAAGAGGTACTTAAGATTAGATAAAGAATGAATTCATAAACATCTGGCAGTTGTAATTTCAAACAATGATTACAATTAAATGCACAAATAAGACAAATGTATCTTAGGCTGGTATTCTTAATTTAGGGACAATAGTCACCTTATAATTTTCAAAGTATCCCTAACTGCCCTGAAATCCTGTGCTAATTTTCATGTGTATGCTTACATGTGTGTTTCACTGGAAAGAACATGCACATATTTTATTTCACTTTCAAAAGGCTTTGTGACTTTCAAAAAGAACGAACCCCCCTGGTTAAGACCATTTTATGGCTGCTTTTGATGATCCTATTAGGTAAGCAGTGGGCATACTGTTGGAGTCCTCCTATCCATGAAAAGGGCAGAGAAGTCGCATCTAGGGAATATCAGAGTTGTCAAGTTGCTTTTGCGATACCTATAACCAATTTCAGTTATTGAACAGATGAATTGTTCTCTGTTAGGGTTGAATGCTCTGGATGTCTCGTGCTGCTGCATGAGATACAGCACCCACCTTGTAATTTGGCAAAGGAGGAGGAGAGAATGCTAGCATCACAGGATTTTAAAGAGAGAACTAACAGAAGCCAACAAACACCAGGCTCTTATTTGCATTAATACAAAATCTGATTGCTTTCAGAATGTGATTAGGTAGATGTTTTAATTGCCTATTAGTTGCCAGAGATTGTACTAGGGGGTCTGAACCTGTTTTCTTATTTAAGCCTCAGGATAACCCTTAGGAGTTGACATTTATTATCATTATTTTTTATAGATACAGAACTGGAGAATCAAACAACTCAGGCTCAGAGAGATCAAGTAATTTGCCCAAGGCTACACTGCTGGTTATTAGTGTAGATGGTTTCAAATTTAGGTTTGTTTGGTACCAAAAAATCCATTTTCACCTCCCTGATGTTGTTCCACTACCTTAATGAAATTTCTTTAAGATGCCTTTATATATTATACTAATTGCATATTAATTTATAATGATGAATATTATGCCTGCATAGAAATTAGAAAAAAAAACAACCTTCCCTTTCTCAAGAAATGTATGTCACTGTCAATTACTTCCATGTATTTGTAAATTGGCTATCATGGCTTCAAAAGTGAATGTCAGGCCCTGGAGTTGTGCAGTACATGACTGGGTGGTGCTGGTGACAAAGCTGTCTTTCATTAATTCTTTTTCCCTTTCTTATCTAGAGGAATCTATATCTATGTCTCTCTCTCTATATATATATCTATATCCATCCTAAGAAATATTATACTTCCTAAGAAATCTTCCTCTTCAAAGAATTCCAACTTCTTCTTTGCTTTAGTGGTGGCTTATGATTTTTCTAACAAAGCAAAGTGGCTTCAAGCAACGAGATGAGCAATTTCCTCAGGCGAAAATTTAGATGCTTTACAAATCATTTCCCTGGATTGGATATTTTTCAAGTCTTGGATCTGTGAACTACAATCTCTCTGAAATCTGACTGACAGAATCATAGAAAAGTTATTATGTAATTTCAGCTCTTCTGAATATGACAGAGTGAAAATAAAAACAACCCTGTACATGAGTGGTTTAGAATTTGCTACTGTCTTCCATGAAGTATTTTAATGTTTCAAAGAATGACATCACTAGGATTTTTTTCTGAATTTAAATCCTGTTTACCTTCTCACAATTTAACAATCTAACAAATAAAATCCACACACACTAAACTTAAAATTGGCAGTGAAATTGTGCATACGATATTAATTTTACACATTAATGTCATGAAAGTCTCTCAATTTCCAGTTGTTAGTAAAAGGATATGCCCCCACATACCATGTTTTTATTTTTTAGTTGTAGATGGACACAATACCTTTGTTTTATGTTTAGGTGGTGTCCAGTGATCCACATGTGCTCTTTCACTGAGCCACAACCCTAACCCCTATTTATGGATTTTTTTTTTAAAGTTTTCTTGAAATCTCTTTTCCAGATTTAGCTACTTAAAACAACCATGACTGTTGTTCAGACTGAACTATAAATTCAGGTTTTATTTTTCACTGGGGAGGTATTCCCCTGGAGCCTAATATTCATGTGGATGGAGAGAAATGGACAAGACTGCTGGCTTTGTCCAAGAAACAGAGGGAGTATGGGGCGGAGAGAAAGCAGATCTAATGGTCTCACTTCTTACCTCTCACCCCGGCTGTCCCTCATCATGAGAGGAAATGCTGTTTCCTTAAACTTAACCACCAGATGAGATGGAACTAGCATTAGGCAGCATGATGCACTTACAGAAAGGACATATGGATTGTTTGAAAGTGTGATAGCATCTCGATTCTTTCAACTCGGTACACGTAGCTCCTACCCTTTTTAACTTGGTGGATGCCCTAAAGGAGAACAAGTTCTTGGTTGAAGTCACATCTCACTCACCGACATCAGACATTTCAGGGACAGTGGCTGTGTAAACGTCCTTGGTGAATATTGGTTCATTGTCATTGATGTCATGGATCTTGATAATGAATTCAGACTCTGGCTCCACGGGTCTCCCTGTCCTTCTGTTGATAGCTTGTGCTCGAAGGATGTAAACGGGTTTTTCTTCCCTGTCCAGCCTTTTGGTGGCCTGTATGTCGCCTGTGTTTTCATTGATAATGAAGAGATCTCCTGCTCCATCTCCTGAAAGGATATATTTAAGTGATCCATCTCCTCTATCCTGGTCTGAATGTAACTAGTGTAGGGGAAAAAAAAATTAAAGAAAGTAAAAGTCAAGCATGTCATCCTAAACTGGTTTGTTTTTATGAGCATGCTACGTTCATTTAATGCTTTCTAAGGCATACAGCTATTTTTTTCCTTGCTATTTTCATAACCCCTCAATAGTAAATGCCATATATTAATGAACATGCTTCCTTATAATCAAAGAACTTTCTAGAACTAAAACAGAGCAGGGAAATTTAGTTACCTTCTTATTTTGGAGAAGGGAAAGGTAAAGGCCAGAGCAGTAGTTAAGATGCCCAAGGACATATAAGCCTGGCTGGAAGGAAACAGTTTTCGGATTCTACTAATACATTCTTACTTGCATGCACACAAACATATGATATAAGTGATATACTATTTTTTAAAATATTTTTTTTAGTTGTAGATGGACACAATACCTTATTCACTCTTTTTTTTTTTTTAAATGTGGTTCTGAGGATTGAACCCAGTGCCTCACACATGCCAGGCAAACGCTCCATCACCGAGCCACAATCCCAGCCCAAATGATACACTATTGAAAAAAATCTTTGGTTTTCATATCAGTGAGACCTGAGTACATTCTGCCTCTGGGTAATTTAAGGAAGCTAGATAAACTCCTTGGGTCTTTGGTGATGGAGATTATAATACCTTTTCTGGGAAGATGTGATAGTCATTTATTTACAAAATTCAACTCAAAGCATTTGAGAGACATCTTCCGTGCTGCCATGAGCAATATCTTGAAAACTAGCACACTAGATAATTTATGAGGTCACTTGGAAGAATAAACATTTGACATTCAGATTTTAGTGTAAACTAGGAAAGGGTTGTCTGACACGAGGAGCCAGCCTAATGTTGAAACAGATGGCTTTATAAGGTAGGGGCTCCCAGCTCCTGAGGGAGATTGAGCAGGGGCTCTGCTCTGGTGAGTCACTCTCAAGTGAAATGATATAAGGAAAGCTAGGATACCACAGAAACAGAGGTGGTGATCCTGACCTGGAAAAGTGATCCACCTTTCCTACTCCGAAGATCATTCTCACAATGTTGAGTTCCGGTGCTTTCCTTAATTCTGTATTGCCCACCCAGCACAGGTTTAGGTTTTCATATCATCTATTTGCAAGTTTTCTAAAAGTGCTTTTTGTTGAGCAGAACCATTTAATACCTGGGTCATCGATATCAATGACACATGGTTTCCTAGTGGGAGGGTTGTGAATCTCTACTTTGTTTCAGCTCCATCTAGACAGAGAAGCTGTGTTCCCCAAACAAAGGCAACAGCAACAGGTGACACTCTGCATCCTCATGGTTAACACATAGAATGCTCAGAGTGGCGTCCATGACACATCCGGAAATCGACTCTCCAGGCAAAAAGGGGCTTAGCAAGTGCTCTAACGAGCCTTCCTAAAACTGTTCCATGGAATGTCATTTGCACAAAATGGAGAGAGAAAGTTTCCTGTGGCCCAATAAATTTGGGCAATACATTATACTCTGCTTCTTTCTTGGAAACACCCATTGACATATTAAAGGCTGTGAGTGCCTACAGTTTGGAACTGTATTTGGCTTTGTGTAACCCAGTGTTCTCGAGCTTTACTGTTTAAAGAGTCATTTTGGGGTCATCTTGATATGCCCCATGACTAGTTTTCCATGAAAGATTCTTTGGGAAACATGAGCTACATTAGTTTATCAGGGTAGAGTCAAGAAACCCCGGGTTCCAGTTTTTGCAGGTATTTCCAAAATCACATCCAGCTCATGTGAGTGTCAGAAGATTAGAATTTGAGGGCAAGAAGGAGCCCTCTAGATGATTCAGTGCAACTTTCTCATTTTGGGATATAGAGAAACCATGTCCAGTGCCACATATCTGCAGCTAGCTAATCATGGAGTTTGGGAATGAGAATATTATTCATACAATTAGTAGCTTTGAAAGCTATTTGGCAGGAATAATGGAAGATAAATGTGAATGGGGAGGAAATGGCTTAGAAGTGAGACAAATGCAATAAGAAATGTAAAACAAGAGTATGCCATGATTTGTGTAATGTGATATGCTAAGGAAACGTTGAAACGTTGACACAGAAAGAGCCACCGGGGAAAGTTTAACTCTCCATTGTCAAATCCTAATGACTGAAGAGTGCTCTTAAAAAGCCATTTCATTAACTCATGAGTAAAGCAAGCAGTACCGCTGCCCTGCAGATCCTTGCTCTAGGGCAGCTGTGGCCAGCAGCCTGGTTCAGGGTTGGGAGTGCCAAGTGCAAGTCCCAAGAACAGGTCACGTCCATTTGCTTTCCCTCACCGAGTGCAAGACCACAGCAGAGCCAATTAACCTCTCTGAGCAAGGACCCTCAGTAAAATGAGGATAATAAGGGCTCCACAACAAAGCTGCTGTGGAGGTCTCATTAGAGACCAGATACAAACACCGCGTTAATTGCCAGGTAAGCATGCATTAAAAACACGGTGTATGTTTTATAAATTACAAAGCACCTTCCAAACTAAAGATATCAATACTATCGTTCTCTGTTAGTTCATAATCGGCATGGTTTTGCTCTTATTCTGACTTTGAAAACTTTGTTTTGAGGACTTGGAAAACCTAATTTTGCAAGCACCCCATATCTCTGAGGTAAAATAATCTGTTATCAAAAGCCTATATTCTTCTACCTGGTGGCAATTTGCTGTCTTCACATGTGATTTATGATATTCTGCATTCCACTAGATTATACACTCTCCTTGGCCAGTTCTTTCATCACTTCAATATGTAATTGTTGCACACTTAGTAGGTGAATACCACATCTGATCACAAGATTTATTCAGGTAAAAGTAATCAGAAACTTATTTTTAGCTGTCAGGAGAGACCATTTCGATGACTTATAGAACAAACACCCGAGACGATACAAAGGCGCAAGGAGATGCAGAGAGAGGGTGCGGATGGGGATTGCTCTGCAGATCACAATTCTGATTTATCAATATTTGAAAACTAGTAGGGAGATGTACCTCTTCACTCAAACACTGCCTGATAATAAAACAATTTAACCTGCTGCCCTCTTCTCTCCCCCCACAAAGAGCTTTATTGGGTCTGATCCTGGTGTGCAGAAACCTCCAAGTGCCTTTCTTTTCTCCCCATTCTCCTCCCCTTCCACGAACACCCCAGGGCCAGTCCTTTCTAGAGGAAAAGTGGGAACAGAAGCCTGCAGTGCCCATGAAAGTGGTGGCGACAACCAGACATTAGGGGTTTATTGAGCACTTAGATTTTAATTGGATTTTTGCTTTTGTGATGTCATTCATCACGGCCACTGTAAAAGACAGAAGTTAAACAACAACAAATAAAAGGTTGTAGCCTGCCCGCGGCGTGTTTTTACTAATTTCAGTTTAATGTGGCTGTTCCATTAAGTTTAATCATCTGGTTCACTTTTAATGATTCACCATCAAGTAAAAATTATCCACTTCCCTCCAAAAGTCACACCTCACCTGTGGCGCCAGGACTCCTTGCTACTGTATCTGAAGCATTCTGTGCTGGAAGAAGTTCAGGGTCTCTGTTTTTCTGTACACTTTTTCCTTTCTTTTTAGAAAAATAATAGCTGTGCTGACTTGGCAAATAAATATAGGCATGTGTGGTGGCTGGCTGGCCCCATGAAGGGTGTCACCAGGACTGGCAGCATCCTTGCCTGCAGCGCTGGGTGTCCCTGGGGATGAAGCATCTTTTTACCTGCTACAAGTGCTGACTTCCAACCTAATTTTGAATTAAATCCAAGGGTGTAACATTGACTGTATGGATTTTCTAGTGATCTATGGAGCCAGCTGCTCTATCACTCCTAGTTCCTGTGTGTCACTGAGTCACTATCTGAGTCAGTAACCAAACTGAATCTTCTGAGAATCAGCATGTTTAAGACAGAAAACAGTCTAAGGAAAAGCTTACCTCGGTGGCCTATGTAGGTGCCTTCAACAGCCAGAAAGGAGTTTGGGGAAGGAAATACGTGATGTCTGCCATGAAACACTGAATTGCGGCTTATGTGTTTTTAGAGTGTTAGTGCAAGTGTAATTCGGTCCTCTGAGAAAGTAATGGTTGCTGATTTGAGATGACCTGGGACAATTAGAGAAGAGCTGTGGTGAGAAAATGCTGTCTGACTGAGACCGAGGTGGAGAAACAGCAGCTAAAGGAGAGAAGGCCTTCATGCTAAACAGGTTGAATATTATTTTAAATTAGGGAAATCATGATCAAATTATGCCAAATTACGGCATAACTGAATTTAATATGCATATAGATGTTTGTATCTATTCATACATCTCTCCATATAATGAATGTATACAGAATGCTAATAAATAGACTTAATGTTGGGAGGCTGGGGAGAGCCAGTTGGGTAGTGTTTATGTTAGGAAGAAATTATGTTATGTGCCTGAAGTACATGGCAGAGATTAGAAATTGATTCTGTTTTAGAGATTATAGGATTAAGTCAATAAAAATGTCTTTTAATAAAATTTCATATGACAAATTTCACCATGCTGTATTTGAATGTTAATGATTTAGCATGAGTTAACTAATTTTTATCTGAAAATTATTTCATAAATGAAAAAGTTCAGGGCAGCATATTATTATAGTAGGGAGCTTGTTGTTCCCCAAACCCCTTTAGTTAGTTAGCTTTGAGTTACTGTAACAGAACACTTGAGATAACAGACTTATAAAGAAGGAAGGCTTACTTTGACCTAGAGTTTCCATGGTCATGCTCCCATGCCCCCATTCCTTTGGGCCTGAAATAAGGCTGAATATTATGGCTGGAGAGTGGTAGAGATAGCTGCTTCTCTCATAATGATTAGAAAGCAAAGAGGGAAAGGGGAAGGGACTGGAGTCTCAGTATTCCCTGAGAGGGTATACTCCCACTAACCTAACTTCCTCCAACTAAGACCCCCCTCTATAGGTTCCACTGTCTCCCTGTAGTTCCATGGGCTGGGGCCAACCCTTTCACACATGGGCCTTTGGAAAACAGTTAAAATCCAATCCATAGCATCCCTTCTCTG